CCGCTTCGCGACTAGGTCGCGCTCGCAGCCTAGACTGTAGAGGTTCAGGGTTTAGGGATTTAGGGTTTAGGGGTTTAGGGGGTTTAGGGTGTTGGGGGCTTGGGGTTTAGGGGTTTAGGCTTTATGGGTTTAGGGTTAAGGGGTTCAGGGGTTTAGGGTTTAGTAGGGCTTAGGGGCTCAGTGTTTCGGCTTCCTCGCTCTTGTGACTTTCTTTTTTGCGGGGAAGGGGGCTTGGCGGTTTTGGGACGCCGAGGAGGGCTTGAGGCGGCTTGCGAGCTACTCCTCATAGTCGTAGAAGACGATGCAGGCGGCAGAGCCTGCCCAGCAACGGAAGCGCGGAAGGTCAGTTCTTCAGGGTTTCAGAGCTTTCCCCTCAACCCTAAACCCTAAACCCCCTAAACTCTAAACCCTAAACCCCCTAAACCATATAGCAAACCCCAAAAAGTTGGAAACTGGGTTAAGGACACATAGTGCTGGGGTTCCTTATACAGTACTCTTAAGGATTGAGGCTATTGGGTTTCCAACTTTTGGGCTTCTGCTGTAAACCGTGAGTGCTGAGAAAGAAACGGCCTTATCGGCTCTGGAGTTTCGACGACCCCAGGGTTTTGCAAAAAAAAAAAAGGCACTCAGCCCCCAAAAAAGCCCGAAACCACCAAAGACTCGGGGTTTGGAAGGGAACTTTAAAAGGGGCCCCAAGCCCGAAAAGCCTCACAAAACCCCCCAAAAACCACGTCAGAAAACGCCTCTAGTAGGAGCCCAGAAGGTGGAAATCCAATAGCCTCAATCCCCAAAGAGTAATGTATAGGGAATCGGAGCACTACTGTTGATGATATAAATCCTGCATTACCTTAAGGACCCTAAGACTATGGGCAATGTGGTATATTCCTTATGATGGGTAGTGCAGGATTTAGATCATCAGCTGTATGTGTCGTATAGGGATTCCCAGCCCTATGTGTCCTTAATCCGGTTTCCAACTTTTTGGGGTTTACCATACATCTCTGAGCAACCAAAAGCCTGAAACCCTGAAACCCAAAGCAAAAGACACCTCAATTCCCGAAACCTTCCAGCCCTATAAGCTCTGCTTGAAGGTGCAAGAGTAGTTATAAGTTATAATAAGGGTGACTACAACTATAATCCACATTGGTGCACGTATAACGCAAGTTAGAATTAAACCCTATAGAACTTCCAACGGAACCCTGCGTAGAGCCCCCCCCCTAAACCCACCCTAAACCCTAAACCTTAAACCCTAAACCCTAAACCCTGAACGCCCTCCGAGCTCCCGACGCCCGTCCCTGCCGGCTCGGCCAGCCTCCTGGTAGTAGCCTTTCGGGGATAGGTTTCCGGTGTGCGCGTCCGTTGAAGAGCCCCTTTTGGGGGAATTCGGGTTGTAGAGGGTATATAGGGGGTGTAGAAGGGTTCAGAACACTTCAGAGTTGGGGGGGGGGCTATAGCCTTGCGGGATTCGACAGTCTTGGTCTGAGGGTTTAAGCTTAAGGCTTCTAGAGTTTCAGGGTTCAGGGTATAGGAGCCATGCTTATGTCCAAACTTCAGAATTACGGGAGAAACTGAAAGCTCCCGGCTAACCTAATTTGGTGGCCCATCTTTCTAGCATGGTGAACATTAGCCGCTGTGTTCCATGCACTCTAACGAGCTCTCCCTTTTGCGAGACTATCGTGGATCCTGCAGCTGCAAGCTGCGGGTCCCAAAAACCCCGTTGAAGCGGGCATTTCCGAGATCCCGGAAACCTTTAAGCACAAGCCCCAAGCCCGAAACCCTGAAACCCTAAACCCCCGGCTTTTGAAGCTTATTCCCAAGGCTTTCGAACCTTTTCCCCCAAGCTTTTCGAACCTTAGGCCCAAAAATCGCCTGCAGGAGCAAAGGAAGGTTCATA